GCACCTGAAAACCCTCTGGGCACATCTCTACGAGGGGGACTCCTCCCTCCGGGCCCAGCCAAGTTTACAATCTAAACTTGTTATGGGAGACTAATCTTATATCTCAAAGTTGTATCTGCAGTGTAAAGAAACTAGTATAGTGTTTCTATGAGCCTTACATAGCAAATTGTCCTCAAGAGAAAAGAAATGCAGCCCAGCTATCTGCTACAGCACACTCACGGCCACAATTAGCAAGTTGCTGACAGGGAGGCAATGACATTGTGCGAGACAGCATTTCCAATCACAATGGAAGAGATTAGAAACATACATAAGCAGGTGCCTTTTTCCCAGCACAGTGTGGGGAGAAAGAAACCATCTTCCTTCCCTAGCACCAGACTATTAGGCTCTCTGCTACAACTACAGGGGCAGGTCTATGACAACAAAATGCCCTTAGGAATAGGATTTTTTTCCCCAATATATGGCAAACTTCTAAGGTTGGTTGTCATTTTTATGGAAAGAAAGAAGAGATTTCATTCAGTATAAATTGTCTTGTGAAATGCCAAGACATTCTGGACATAATTCCTGGAAAGAAATTGTCTCTGGGGCTGGAGGGGGGGATCAGTAACAGGTTACATTTCCCCATTATTCTAGCAATGTTAGTTGAACATTTTTAACTTTTTTACATTTTTATTCTCATGTATGGATTGCATGGTCCATCAGCTTTTAATAAAATATTGAATGAAGCTACAAAGAGTTGAACAAAATCTATACCATTCTTCCCAACTGCTGGCTATGCTTACTATAAATTCTGCAATGGGCATCGCTTACATTATTTAAACTCTGAGGCCATTGTTTCACTGAGAGTTTTCAAGTTCCAGAAAAAATAAAATTAAAGCCATCAAATTATGGACTATATCCTTCTCAAAGACAGCAGAATTAAGGCATCTCTATCCATAAAGACTATAGAAGTAAATAAGGTTACATAGGTATGTACATACGTACATACATACATAAGTACATACATACGTACAAACAAAATCTGTGAGGCTCACAAAATAATTGCTTTAGTACCATAGTACATACGTACGTACGTACACACACACACACACACACACACAGAAATTTGTAGGACAAACATAGGGAGGGTGTCTTAAGCAGGCCCCATTCAGAAGATCCCCAAAACAGTTTGCTGGGTTTTTCATAACATTACCAAAATTGTCAATCTAGCTTAAGGGGGAAGAGGGGGAAAGGGGGAAGAGTAGAAGAGAAGGATACTGCACTGGGCTTTTACCCTCTAAGTCTAATTGTTAGTTTTTTCATAGGAACCAGCAGGGAACCCCATGTGAAGCCTCTGTGGGGTTCCCGAGCAGAGCATCCAATGCCTTGTGTGACTCTGCATGTAGATGAAGGAAGCCTTTCGGGCTGCTGGGCTGTTACTGCTCCTTTCTCAGAGAAATGCTTTTTCTCTGGCTTGGCTCCCTGCTGGGCCAGCGCTTTTCAATCTTCCTCTCTCCTTTCCCTCCCCCACTCCTCGGTCCTTGTAAAAAAAATCCTCTCCCCTCATCTCTCCTTTTTGCAAAACCCATGGAAACATGAAAAAAATAAGAGCGCGCAGAGACGTGGCATTATTCTTTTTCTTTTCTTTTGGAAAATCTACATTAATTTTAAAAAGCTTTAAAAGTCTGTATAAGAAAATATTCGTGAATATAGACCACTTGTATGGAGGAAAAGAACTGGATATTTCTTTCTTTCTCTGGATGGATTTTTACAAGGACGCGCCACTTCTAAATGATGTCTGTCTGTCTGCACACACACACACACATATACACACACACAGTGGAAAGCTGATAACCTGGTTTCGAAAACCAAGTACCATGTAACAGAGTGAGCTCCCTCTTACCCCAGCTTATGTCTACCTAGCAGTTCAAAAGCTTGCAAATGCAAGTAGATAAATAGGTACCACTTTGGTGGGAAGGTAACAGCATTCCATATGCCTTTGGTGCATAGCCATGCTGGCCACATAACCACAGAAAATGTCTTCAGACAACACTGCCTCCCTCAGCCAAGAAACAGGGATAAGCACTGCACCCTAGAGAGTGAGATATGACTGGACAGGGACCGGGACACACACACACACACACACACACACACACACACACACACACACACGGAAGTACAGATCTACCTACATTAATGGCCAAAATTGTGGAAATGTTTTGGGAAAGGTGTATTTTTAAGGTTTGATGGCTAATAACACCACTTTTTTTGAGTAGTACCATAAAATTATATATCAATGGAAAGATAATTTAATCAAGAATGTAATGCAATGAAGTTTGTTCAATTATCTGTATTCTATGAAATGTTATAGACAAATAACCAGAAAAAGGAAGCAGAACTTGCTTAGGTTGATATCAAGTAGCTTTCGTCTGATTGTAGCCAATGAGCATGAGTGTTTAGAGAGCCAATCAGGTCTCATCTTGTTTTAGCAGTGAGCCAATCTGATCACAGTAGGATTCAATTATTGATGTCATGTATTGAAGCTGAGAGAAGAACATTTGTCAGTGTGTTATGTGATTGCTATTAAGATGGTTGAAGTTGTTTTTTTTTATTCTTTCATTTGGTGAGCTTGTAAAAAGTAATAAAATTAAAGTAATGGTGCAAAGAGTTGACTAAAACATGGCTAAAACCATTTACCTGGACAGAGGAACAATGGGACAGTGTTATTTGGAGTGATGAGACCAAGATCTCCTTGTTTGGTAGTGATGGCATAAAAATACACTTTTCCTAAAAGCTTTTCACAATTTTTCCCACTACTGTATATATACAGCAAAAATGCCTCCCTGATTAACTGTTTTCAGTTTTTTATGGTAACCCCCAATGCAAATGTAGTGAAGTTATCTTCCAAACTAAAAAAAGAGAGAGAGAGTAGATTTTAATTGTTAGGGCCCATTCTGAAATCAAATTTGGTTATCTCCTCCCCGAGATCCGGCATGCTCCTATCCTTCTAGTCTTTTAAAAAGCCTTAAAGACCTGGATTTTCCCATAAGCATCGAGGTAGTATATGTCTAGAGCCTAAAAAAGCTATATGTTGTATGTGAATGGTGTGATTTTCTTCAGGAGTTTTTATATTAGTATATATCAATGTTTTTATACTTTATTACTGTTTATAGGCCATGCAAAATTATTGATACATAGCATAGATATCTATTTTAATCTAAAAAAATAAAGCCTGAAAGCCTTTCTACAGCAGCTTCATAATGACATTACCATGCATAGCAATATCTATACAAGCATGCCACTATGCAGAATAACATGTTGAATTATTTTCCTCAATAATACCTCAGAACTCAGAAATGCTAATTTTCTCCTTAATATGTACCCCAAACAGAAAGACAAATTGACTTATCATCCAATACAAAATATATTTAAAACTCTTCTAATTGAAAGGGGAAAAGACTGCCCTGTAAATACTTCATCTCTTTTATATGAAATTGTTTCATTGTTCTTAAAAAGGCTCTTGGTCTCAGATGAGCACATAGCTCAGCTAACAAATACTTTGTCTTGTTGCAAGACAGGATACTTACCTTAGGTGGTGCTTTTTTCAATAACACCAGAAGGGCCTGTAACACCAGGTTGGAGAAACGTGGCCCGATTGGAACATAATCTGGAAGTTTAAGATAACAAAATAACACACATATTTACACAGCTCATGGAAAGCCATACAGAGTGGCAACAAGTTCAAACATTGTTCCATTTCAAAGTTTGGAAGTCGGGTCAGTTATACTCTTCCAAGTGTAGTATTAAGCTAACTAGTGCTCCAATTTCATTTGAGCCTTGCTGCTGCCACCTCAAATGTGGTTAATATCAAATAATGCCAATTAGGAAACTAGCTATGATAACAATAAACCTTTGAGTTGATAAATTAGAGCAGGTTAAATAAAACTCTCCTTTAATTTAATCTCAGGACCCAACCATCCTTCCTTCTTCTAGTGTCATGTTACCTTCTCTTCCAAATAAAGAAAGGTGGATACAAACTCTATCATCTACACCTGCATAAATTGCCTCCAAATTGCTACCTCCTTATCCAAGCTCAACCACACCAGGCACAAGAACCTTTGATTTCATTAAAAAAATTGGGGTTTTGTCCCAAGCTCATCTGTTCTTCACAGATATTTCCTTTACAGGCATTCTCACCAAGAAGCCGTTCAATGTCGTCCACTACCACACAGCTGAGCTGAGATTTGTAAGCATCATCAAAGATCTAAACATCAGGAAACAGAAGCAACAAAGCATTTTGTTAATGGAGTCTTCAAAGAAAATAATAATAAAGCTTTGCCACTTGGAACTTAAGATTTAAATTCTACCAAATTCAAGTGTTTTAGTTTAACTTATTTTAAAAGAAAAGCTCTTTAACTGAAGTTATAGTACTACAAAGGGAGAAACTGATTCTGCACAAAGCACATTCTAAAATCAGAGATTAAGAAAAAATATTTTGTATTATAGATATCTAGTAATTTTGTTTTCCTCCTTTGAAGGGTTCATTAAATATTTGAAATTTTTGAATGGAACTGCCCTCCAATTTTTGGAAATTATTCCTCTTATCCAGCCCTATGCCATGTAAAATATGCTGAAAATATTTTTTAAAATTTCAATTTCCTAAAATTTGGAAGATGATGATGTTATCTGTGGCCCATCCACATTCTTAAAATTAATTTTTCCTTTGATTTATTGGGAAATGACTCTTTCCTGCTGCAAATGCAGATATGTATCTTTCCTTACATAGAAATGTGAAGACCTTTTAATTAGATATATTAGATTTTTGTTCTCTGCCACTCTTTTAGTAGATTCACAGATTACGTGAACTTGACTCATTTATACACCACCAAACTTCTCTTTTGTCTTTCCTAGCATTTCAGTTTAATATCCTACATAGCCTAAATTTATTATTCTATGTGACTAACCATAATGATCATTATTCACTCTGACAACATCCAGGGAATAACAATGAGATTCAAGATATCTACTGAAAATGATTTTTTCCTCCTGTGTTGGAAGCACTGTTTTAAACAACATTATGAAACTGAAAATAAAGTAAGACAATTTATATTAAGCTAAAAAAAAAGGCATTCCCTTGCTCTTCAAAGAGTAGCTGTAGAAGACTATTTTAACTATCTATTGTACTTCAGACAGATTCTGTTTACATGGGTCTTTTTCATTAAATATGATCAAAATAATTGATACCCCTCTCTTCTCCCCCCTCCTAATTTGCAGTAAAGTAAGTTGAAACTGATACAAGTAAATGACATCCAGAGACACTTAGCTTTTGATGCATGACTCTCATCCTTTTTCTAAATAATAAAGCAAATGAAAATGGCATGGAGAACATGTTATATCCCTTACAGGTAAAAAGTCACTACTGGATTTCAGTGATTTTTCAGGCAAACTATTTACTCAGGCTATTTGAATAGAAAAAAGTACTGTTTGACTATTTGACCAGGAAGACCCCATTTCTGAAAGGCAGATACAAAAGTCCAAATGTTTAAGATTATCATGCAAGTCCCCAAATGTGTATCTAGTGCAGCTTTAAGATGAGAACCAGAAATTACAAGTAGAGAGGTAATACCTAGATCTTTAATTATTGGCTAAAAGTAATATTTAATCCAACAGGCTGATTAGCATGGGTAACTTCCATTTTACTTGAAATGTATTCATTAGAGAAAAACTAGAAACCTATGGCTTCTCTAATGAGGATAGGATTTGACCAAGCAAAAAGATTCCTGAAGGACAGAGTCACTGACACAGGATGGCAACCAGAGCTAGACGCTCTTCTAGCACCATGCCAGTCAGTTATTAATAATCCTTAATAAATAACAGACATCACAAAACATTTGTTCTGGTTAGAGTCAATGCAGTCCCTCCAGCAGTTATTGACAGTAAGTATCAAAAAATTCCTTTCCATGAATAATTTTGCCTCATATGTAGAATGCACTGCTGCACTCAAAAATTTGCAAAAGTTCTGCAATTCTGTAATTCTGAATAAGACTTCTACACTAGCAATTTGAGGAGTGGCCAAACATTTGTTTCTTCATTTATTAAATTCACATGTCATGCATTTCTCTGGGTGACCCTGGGTGGCTTACAGATCATAAATAAATAAAAACATTTAAAAATTATGCAAATTAAAAATGTTAAAACTAGCGGGGGGGACGGGGACCCAGAATCAAATGCTAGATGGTATAGGGATAGGATCTTCTTACTCTGTCAGCCATCTCCAGCAGTGAGAACCCCCCACCCCCTCAGGGCCCCACACTAACTGGCAAAAACAAATTGTAACACCCTTCTGGAAGGCCAAAAGAGAGGGTGCAGTTTTCACCTGCTGTGGTAGAGTGTTCCACAGAGTTGAGGCCAAAGTGGAAAACAATCTTCTCTTTGGCCCCACCTTCTGGAATTCCTTGGCAGACAGTGTCTGTACAAACCTCTTCTGTTGGCCCAAGAGGGGTGGGCTAATGCTATTGGGGTGATTTGACCACTCCTCAAATTGCTAGTGTAGAAGTCTTATTCAGAATTACAGAAAGTACTTGATTGCAGTTATTGCCTCAAAGCAATCCCGTGCTATGAAATACTGATATCCCTAACTTAATATTTCATAGCACACTTTAAGGCAATAATTGCAGTCATCCTAAAATTGTGATTCTTTGGGGGAAAATATTTTTGGCAAAGCTGTACATCCAGTAGGAGAATTTGAGGAAATTTCCCCCAACAGGGAAGAATCACATTGAAGGCAGTTGATGAGTTAAGAGGCAATCCCCCTCATGCATTTTCCTCCCTCCTTCCCCATCTTTTTACTATAATTCTATTTTTCATTGTAATTTCCATTTTTATTGCCTTAGAAATATTTATATTTTATGATTTTAATGTTTTAATGCTATAAGCAACCCAGAGTCACTTCAAAACAAGATGGGTGATAAGTAAATAGATGAATAAATAAATAAATATCTGTTTTAGCTTTTTGAATATCTTTTCCTTTGCTACAATAAAATTATTTTCATACTTATGTTTCTTAGATCCTGATTTGAATTCAAAGCTACATAGCTAATTTGTAAAAATATTTAACAAACTGTTAAACAGAGCAATAGAGAAAAATTATTTAGTAATATATCAGAAAAAAATGATTAGTTATAAAACAGGTTAGTAATTATACCTTCTTAATTGCCTGGCACTTGGCAGTTTCTGAAAAGCCAATCATTTTATCAGGAGAGCAGATCTTGATGAAGGGGAAATTAGATTCCTCTGCAATCTTTGCAGCTAAAGCTGTTTTCCCACTATGTGGGGGACCTGTTGGCGAAAAATAATCCAAGGATGGACAAAAGGAATAGCATGCCTTGCCAGTCATAAAAAGACAAAGTCTCTCCATGAAAACTGAGTACCCATGGAAGAAAATGTCTCTCCATTTGGCTGAGACTTACATGAACTTTCATGTTCTTAAAATAGCTATGAATCTAGAATCTTCATTGAGACACAAATCACTTTTAATACTAAACCATATGCTAACCTCTAGGAACTTCATTAAGTTTGTCTCCTTGATGCATTGGCTCTTATGATAGAACAGAGGTTATCTATCATCTATCTATCTATCTATCTATCTATCTATCTATCTATCTATCTATCTATCTATCTATCTATCTATCTATCAATCACATTCAACCCACTGATCATCATTAACTGCTTGAAGTTATTGAAAAAATATACAGAATAATTTTGAAATTTCTTAAATTTGTGGGGTCAGGAGTGGAGATGGTATAGAACATCTTAAAATTTTATCAACTCCATTAATCTAAACAACAGAAATTATAATTGTGGGTTTGAAACTAGCATCTCCCACTATTACTAGATACAAGGACTCCTTTCTTGATATTTTTTATAGCACTGAAGTTTCAGGCTTGCCTGGATAAAATTAATTAATTAAGCAATGCTATTACAAACTGAATGAAGACTTGGTGATGATCCTTTTGGATAATCTACTCCCAGAATTAGACAATGACAATGCTTCATTGTTGTTTTTGATGAAACTCTCAGCAGCTTTTGATATAAACAATTATTATATTTTTTTGGATTGCCTCTTTCCCAGTTCTAAGCTCTACATCTATCTTCATGATTTGCACTCAGGCACATAAATCTTTTAGAAATTTTAAGAAGATAAAGCAAGATAGAGAGTATGTATTATTTTAACCATAACATTAGATAGCAGCACTAATCATATGTAGAAAATCACTTCAATAGTCCCCTGTTTCAGTTTGCTAATTGTTAGAAACCATGTTACAGCATTTCAGATATCACACTAACTATGATTTGAGGTTATGCTGAATTAAGTTTCTGTAAATTGTTAAGAGGGAGAAGAATATTCCAATCGTCTTTTTCTCACAGGGGTGCCAGAAACCCTTTGTATAATCCAATATGATACTAATAATCTTCCTTTAGAAATTGCAAATCATTTCAGATAGAAATAGTCTCTCTCAAGCCCAGCACCCTTTCTAGGAGACCACATTTAATCCATCCTCTGTAGAGCAACCAACATACCTTCCAAAAGAACACTGACCAAGGGAGTCCGATCACTATTTTGGGCCTGCTGAACAAGAAGCTCCCCATCATCCAGCACCCTAGTAACAGGGTCACCCCACTTAATAATGCCATTCATAATATAGCTTGTATAATCTTCCTGATTGGTCCCAAATGCCTGTGGTTGGAAAGAAACAAATGTAGTAAAGCAAATAATGAACAATTACCTCTATTTGCAAGAGTGGGAATGACATGAATTAGTTCTCCTGTTTAGCAACAAGAAGAAATGAGAGATACACTCACCGGCTTAATATCATTCTCCAATGAAGTCAAAAAGTCTCTCCTTGTCACCTGCAGAGATTCTGCTTTTTCCATATCAACTTCCACCTTAGTGCTGGCCTAATAAAAATGGGAGATAGCACATCAATAAGACAGCCAACAAACTCATAAATTAAAATAGGTCTACAATAAGTCTCTTTGAATAGGTCTTCAACTAATGGAACTTCCAAGAAAAATCTCAAGGTACTTTCAGTTTCCCTTTAAATAAAAGAAATATATGTATCAGAGTACAATTCATGAGTATATGCAGAAAGTAAAAGAAACAAGAAGTTTAAAGTATATAAACATAGGAACTGGTACATGTCTGATGAGTGTGAAGGATGGTTTGTAAGAACAAAAGCTATGGAATGGTATAAAAAAGTGTTTGAAATAAGTTAGTTTTAATTATTTCCCCTTTTCGTCTCCTGCTTTATGTTATACAAATAAATCAGTCGTACTATTTCTTATTTCTTTACTGCACCTTGCATAAATAATATTAGTTACTCCAAAAAAGAATCAATGAGTAAGTATGTACATATGCCTGCACACCTTCATTCCTTTTTTATTTGCTTCTGTCTATGCTACTGAATGTTGTGTAATTAGGACAGTTGAGCAAAATGTATGATTTGAACTTGGACCTTTTTATTCCACATTCATAAAAAGATCCCCAGCATTTTCTCTCTGAAATCCTTACACAACATGATTCTTTATTGAAGATTTACAATTCTTCCTTGTTAAGTGCCCAAGATAATGGAAAGATGTGCACATTTGGATTTCAATTAAGTCAATAAATGCGAGAATGCATAAAATATTTCTGTATATTAAACAATTACATTAAGAAATGTGACAAAGAAGTGTGCAGAAGCTAACTAGCTTCGTAAGTGATTCTGAGCTGGGAGAACAAGGGAGTGACTTGATAAAACCAGGGAAAATAGATCTGCACCATGGAACCTGGCACTCTATGGAATTGCCATAGAAAAACTTTCTTCCACTTCAGATTTTAGACCATCTTTAAAGTGCATTTTCCTTCAGGTTCATTTTTATAAGCTACAAAGGTCTCCTGCCTCCCCAAATTCATCTGCAGAGCATACAACTAAGAGCTATGTGTTCCAGGATGCATTCCAAGCCCAACACCTGTTACAGTCACAGGCTAACAAAAATCAGCATTTCAACACTCTCCAATATAAAAAACTAATTTAGCTTGTTTCAGCTAATCTCTAATTTACTCATCCTGACATTTCACATCTGACATCACTCATTTCCTGCTAAAAGCCCAGTGACCTTTACAACTAAAAATGAAGGAGAAAAAGAAAACAAGAGAAAGAGAAGAAAGGAAAGGAAAGAGAAACACTCCAATAAATATCTCACCCTGAAATCAGGCCTTTGGGAACTAAGTAATAAAACTGTTGTAGATGTTTACCCTCTTTGTGCATATAATTCATGATATATGTGTAAAATCTAATTCCATTTCAATATCAAATAGTAGACCAGGAGGACAATGTTTGTTTTAACTCAGAAATAAGGAGACAAATGTTTGATATAATACGAAGGAGATACAATCTATTTCATGTATCCTACCAGTGTATCACTCTTAGCCTCTATATTCAAATTTGCATGTTTTTTGCCTGTGCACCTGCATACTTTTTATCTCTTTGTGAAGTGAGCATTTCATTAGGTAAACACAGGCATAACTTTGCGCTGAATTTATTTAAAAATCCAATCCATATGAACAGGCAGCCAAATGTTATTTTCAAATTGAAAATAACTGGAAAATAGGTATGCATTCTATGAGGGAAACATTCCAATCCCAGATTGTTCCAAAATGGAAGTTAAAGTAGCTCCAAAACATTTAGAAGCTTCCGTTACAAAGTCAAAACATTCCATGATAGAATCTCACAGTACTATCAGGTATATGTACCTGCTCAGTCTTGTTATAGCATTTAACAAAGATGAACCCTGACTCCAACAGCTGGCCTCAATACCTAGAAATTAGCAGGTAAGGGGAAAAAAAGCTTGGGACAATGGTGCTCAAAGAGCTAAGAAAGGGAAAGAAGATGTAGCTTTTGTATCATACTGCCTAAATGATGTAGACATCTGAACAACAAATAGGGTGATCATTTATTTTATCTAGTTTTAGATTACAGCAGAAGAAGCTGCGTGCTTCAATATTCTTTCATCTTTTTTTGAAATAACATAAATCTCCCTTGAAAACTATTTTTACTTGTTACTTTTCTTCCCCCAAATATTGCTAATTTAAAGATTTATTCTACCTTTTAGGGTTAACTCTTAAATTATAATTAAGCAAAACTCACAAGGGCATTTCTTTACCCTCCTACCATCAGGAAGGAGATAAAGAAGCATAGCCAGCTGCACAAACAAGCTGAAGAACAGTTTTTATCCGTGGGCTGTCAGACTCCTGAATGCAAAATAATATCATAACTACATAATACGATGGACTTGCAGAACTGGCGCAACATGTAGCATATTCACACTGGTGCAATAGGACTGGGTGTCTGTTAATACAATTTATTGGGTTAGGGGTATTGTAAGAAGAACAAAAGAGGAAGCGGCACAAGAGGACAGGGCCCAAGCTCATTATCTATGCATCTGAAGAGACTGGGTAGTGCTAAGGAAGATCAAACCTTAATATGTCTGTTCATAGCTGTGGACTGGGCTGCCCGAACCAGACCCTCAAGTTCAGCACCACTAAAGTTCTTGGTCTCCACAGCCAGTTCTGTAATATCCACATCCACAGCCAGCAGTTGGTGGGTTCGCATCCTTGATGTGTGGATATTGAGAATCTGCATTCGACCTTTTTCATCAGGCAAGCCTAAACAGATAAGTTGTCATTTTGCTTTAAATCATTTTTTCACAATGATCTTTTCAGATGTAGTGTGTCTGCAACTTTCAAAATATCTTATAAAGATCTTAATTGGGGGATTCTGGAAGCAATTGTCCCCAATACATCTGGAGACAGCCAAGGAAAGGCTCTTTGGACGTTACTATTTTCTCCCATGATTGCAATATTGTAACAGGCTAAGTAACACCTTTCTTTCCCAAATGCCAGCCCTCTGAGTTGATTTTAATGAGTGGGAAATGGGGTAGAGATTGCACCTCATTTTCAACTAGGATGCAGTGGAGATTTATGAATCATTTCGTTACATTTAGGCACAAATAATGTCTGACTGAAGAGTTATGGAAACATCCAGGCAACTTTCTTAGCAATAAATCTTGCAATTGCCTAGGGTTTTTTTTGGGATTTCCCAGTCTAGACTTTTTCCCTGATATTCCTTAGGAGAGTCCTATCCTATCCAAATCACATTTATACTTCCCCATATTTGCTACAGATGAATATAACTATGGATGAATATAGCTTAAACTTCTTTAGCTGTACCTACCTACAGTATACAAACTTGGGAATAAGAACAAGCCAACATGTGGAAGGAAACATTAAATGTCCTTCTCTATTGCTGAAAATGGAAAAGACACAAGAATTCAAGCTCAAGGCTTGTTGTAGCTTGATATTCTTCTAATATAAGAATTCAACCAGTTCTGTATAAGCCCATAGAGGAAAAGACAATGTACATGAAGCCAAACTAATGGCTTGTGATCTGCAGTAAATGTTGCTTTTGTCTTTTGTTCAATCTCTATGAGTATTTTTCAGTCATGGGTATCATGGTTCTGTAAGTGTTCAATAGAATTCATACTGCACATCTTCCTTAGGCCATAGAACCATATTTACCAAATCATTTCCTACCAAAACTTCAAATAATTTTGAAAATAATTGTTGCCCTGATTATTTACCAATCTCCATTTTCACTTCCAGTCGTCCAGGTCGTAAGAGTGCTTCATCAATCAGGTCTGGTCTATTGGTCATACCTGGACATCAATAAGAAATTACTACTAGGTTGAAAAAGAATGAGTCCAGATATTACACCTGATTCTTAGGTTAGCTGTTTGAGTCTTATAGGCACCAAGCAAACATTCTTATTTAATTGTTATATGTTTCCATTAAGCAAAAGTGACAAATCAAACATAGCATTCCCACCAGGCATGATAATGTTCCTTTTACGTTTTATTTATATACGGAGATCCCAAAAGGACCTCAAAAGAGGTGTGTGTGTGTGTGTGTGTGTGTGTGTGTGTGTGAGAGAGAGAGAGAGAGAGAGAGAGAGAGAGAGAGAGAGAGAGAGCTATATGAGAGATAACGAAATGAGGGAAATGAAAAAGGATTGTTCAGTCTTGAATTGTGATACATCTAGTAATATCTAAGGTTCCAAACTATGTTTCAGAGATATGTTGATACATCTGTTATCTGTGAGTTGCTGTCTCAAGTTTTACTATTCAAATGAATGAACATGTGGATAGGATTGCTACTAATCTACAAACTAATTTGCATGAAAACAAATATAAGATACAGTATGATAGAGAAAGAAAGAGAGGGGGAGGGAGGCAGGGAGGGAGAAAGGAGGGGGGGAAATACCACCACCTTGCCTTGTACTCCCACTAACATAAAGTAAAAGAACTGGTTCTTCCACCAGTATTATTTCTTGGGTTTGTTCTTACTTTTTCTTTTCCAAGCAGTTATCACATCTTTTTAACACCTTTTTTCTGTTTTCCATTTTGTCTCTTTTAATTATTAATTTAAATATTACAATTTAAAACCTTCTTTGAAAAACAGTAGTATAAAAACTTACTGCAAAAGATATCTTTGATAATACAAAAAGCTAAGAATGTCAATTAAGGATTAATAATTTTTAAGATTGAATATAAATAATTCATAATGTATTGTTTTAGTTTTGTTATATGTTGTCCAGGTTAACTTGTTGTAATTGGCGGCTATATTAATAAGATAAAAAAATAAAAAAATTCCCTATTATATTAGATAAATTATCTAAGTTTGTCTAAGGCTCTAAAACTTTTGCTTTAGTTTCAAGACTCTGAAGAGTGAGAGTCATTCTCTGCATCCAGAAATATCTTGCATCCATGTCTCCCTGCAAATACGTCAAAGATATGGCAAAGTCTCCCTCTCAAGAGAACCCAAGAGAACAAGGCAACTGCATACCGATTACCAAGATATTGTTCAACTGTTCAACACCATCAATTTTAGACAAGAGCTGGTTCACAACAGTGTCATGGACTCCAGTGCTGCCTGCCATACTCCCTCGTTGTTTGCAGATAGCATCAATTTCATCAAAGATGATGATATGGACACCACTGTTTGCCCCAAGCTGATGAAGAAAAAGCAAAGTATATGATTAAAATACTGTCATCCTTATTCTAATAGCTATCATAGTACTGTTTTAAGGAATGCAGAATAAAGCACTTAAGCTTGCAAAAAACAATTCCACTCTAATCATAATAAAGGGAGGAAGCTTTCAATATTCATTTGGTTTAAGGCTTATGGCCATAAATAAAGCATTGTGCACCCATTTCCAGCTTCAGTATTCCAGAACAGCTCAATTAACAGTAGATTAATTCATATTATTAAGATTACGAAGGCCACTAAAAATATCTTAGGGAATAGAATATTACAATATGTACATTCAGAATTTTATGAACAAACATTTTTTTTAGAACCCATGATCCATTGGGTCATCCTTTCAAAGGTATTTCCTTACCGAATGAGAAATAGAATGACATGAATGGACAAAAAGGCAGTGACAACAGGAGTTGTCTGACTCTCCTTGTGGGAAACTGGCAGGGAGCATCATAAATCACAACACATAACCACAACTAAGAGTGATGATGATGCAGCAACCAGAGCTTCGTAAAAACAACTGATGAGAAGATCCTTGAAATTTCAATTACAGTAAAAGTAATGATGGTACTTCAATGGCAGTAATGGGTTCAAGATTTTGTACCATTAAATTAATAGATTTGAGGTACTTTGATTAAAGCATTTTTGCACTATGATACATCATTTGGGCTAATGGTGCATCATAGTGCAATCAGAAAGATTATAAACAGACAGGGGAGTTTTAATAGCATATAAATATAGATGTAATTCACTCCAAAGACTCAGGTAAATTACAGAACTCCCAGTTACATTGACTGAATTCCATTTCTGGCCAAGTCAACAATTACAAATTCTTAAAGCTATTAGAAACAAAATAAACATATACAATATGAAGTATTATCGGATTGCAATTAAGCAGAATGAATTATAAGACACAAAGGATTGCAGTTCTTTTCTCAAGAATTATTACTTGTATTTTAGATTTTTGGATTTTCTGAATCTGTGTATCATTTTGCTGACTGATATATACAACATTTCAAGTGAATGTTCCTACTGATATAAAGACGAATGAGCAAATAACATTTAGAATTTGTTTATTTTATAAAGAAAATTATGTAATATTTGACATGGCAGAGTGAGAAATAAATTCTTTCTAGAGATTTAGTTAGAGGTACAATAATTGAAGCCATATTCTTCCTGCAGTTGCTGATAAGTCGCACCTATATGAATTTTAATCCAATCCTACATTGTTAATGGGTTCAACTCACTATCATTTGTTGATTTTCTAGGTTGAACTAATTATTTCAGATCCTGCCCAAAGTTTCTATGGAATCTGTAATTGGGTTTTCTATTTTCTTGAATACCTCATTTTATGTTTGGAAATATATTTTGCCGAATGTCCCATTTGTACTTCAGGCAATGCCTTGATATTATCCAGCAGGGTATCTAATACAATACAACAGTGGTCCACAAAGGCTTGAAGAAATGGTATGATTTAAATTCTGAGTTACGTTTTGGGGTTCCATAGCCATGGTTCATGGCCACAAAAGGGGATCCACAATGAAGAAAAGGTTGAGAACTATTGCAATAGAGGATTCCTTCCTTCCAATGATGACAAGTCATCCAAGTCTAAGTTACCCTCTAATTACCATCACCATGCTTATAGCTGGCACATATTTAATTATTATTTGGGAGTTTTATGCTGCTGCAATCAATTGACTCTCAGAGTCTTATAAAACTTTAATCAACACTAAAAACATCAATATTGGCCAAACCCAATAATAATCTATAACTTGTCTGTATATAGTGTAGACAAGATATATAGTTATAGTATATCTATAACTTGTAACCTTCACTAAACATGCAGCATCACTCCTTTGGGAGCAGTAATCTTCCATCTCTACAGTTCTTACATAGTCAGGGCAGCATAATTTCAATGCAGTAACAAGAATAGGGTTGTCTTCACCTCCGGAACAGAGGAGAGGGACCTTCACTGAAAATACTTGCATCTTCCAGATATTGACATTGTCTCAAAAAAAGACTGGAGCTCCCTCTTGGAGCTCATTGAAGGGGCAGATTGCATGAAACCTATGTCTTAATATGTAACTGAAAGTGATAACCAATATCCTGCTTGGATGCGGTGCTTGGAAGCTAAATGCTCCCCAGTAGACCTCTTGTAATAAAAATCTTATATGCACAAAATAAACCAAGCTCACTACTACCCATGTGATTGCATTTTGGATAAATGGAAGCTACCAGAAGGTCTTCAAGGGTGGTCCTATGCAGTGCAACTTCCAAATGTGAGGTGACAATTACTTAAGGAACTGTCAATCGGCTTCCTGGCTCAAAAGTGGTCGCAACTGGTGTAGAAGGTAGAGTTACACTGAGGTCTTCCTTCAAGCAGAAAAAGAAAGTCCAAGAAGACCTCTAGATGGTAAACCACTTTTGAATAGGATGGAATAATTCATTCATGGTTAATGATTATTTCTGGACTCTGACAGCTTCCAAATCTATAGATATTCCCTCTTATTTGGATTATGTCTAAGCTATTTTTTCTCTATTTAGATCCTAACACAGTGTCTAGACACATAGAAAAAGTATTTGATCCCATCTCTTATTTCTTCCAAACTGCACATTAATATCCTATGGAGCTAGATGGTCTCCTTTGGCAGCTTTATTTATATATTAATAGTTAAAAATAATAAAATATCTGTCTATCCAGGTCCTTGGGAAGGACTCAATAGTTAGATAAAATCAAATTTAATATCTGGCTGACTATGTAGTCAATCAGTAATAATTTCAGGTTCTTAATAGGTGAATAAAAATGCCAAATCTTGTATAAATATCTGTCTGGGCTTTGGTGAAACTCTCAAACTTTCAAAATGGTTTTCCAGAATTATAGCCATCAGCAGATTGGGGTGGGGTTTTGTTTTTCGTTTTAGATTGTGATGTTTTTATTGAAGTCTAAATTTATTTTAACTGGAACATGATGTCCTTCTAGAATCGGTGGTGAGAAGTTCATTGTGATAAGGGCACATGGTTTGTAAAATGTATATAAAGGACAGCTGGTCCAAATCAGCTCTGATTGTTAAATGAAATTTTCACATAATTGGCCCTGACTATTTGAACTGAATAAATAGAGGCAAGAGCAATGGCTTTTTAATAGTGGACCAGAATGATGGAGGCCTTTGTTAATGAAAAAATGAAGTAAGAATAATCTTTGTTCACTTGGATTCTAGGAATATTTTAATAATGTTCAATAGCAAAGATTCATAAAAATCTAAAAGTGGGCAAACACAGAACTGTACAATATTTGAACTTTTTAATACTTAGAAAAATGACAAGTAAAGGAGGCTTGATAGTAGATAAATGCTATTTATTGCCTCTAATAATATCAGACAATATTCCTCTAAATAAAATTGTTTGATTGATTGGTTAGATGGGTATCCTGACTTTCTTTGGAGAACTTAGTTTCTATAATAGCCATCCTCTGAGGTAAATTAGGTGGAGGGTATATAAAGGACAGAGAATAACATACTGAATTTTCCACAATTAATGGTAGATTTCTTTCTCCAATCCTAGTACAGTTCTTTAATGATTATATCACAGTGGTTCCAGATATTAAAAAGCATTTTCTGAAGGATTCTATGTATCCTTGCACTGTTTACTGACTTTTCAAATCAACTAGTTAGTCTCTGTGGGAACAAAAAATAACAGCCCTATTTGCAAACTGAATCAACTCTCCTGTCTCAGTCTTCCTCCACTCCATTCTATAGTTAGGGTAGCCAGACACATTGCTACGCTAAATTTCCAAATGAAAAGATTTCTAAAATTGACTGACAGTCATTGGAATAGATCCAAATTCTTTTCCTCCCCTAGAATACCCACATTAACAAAATTGCAATCCCATGAGCTATTACATCTCAAACTGTATATCACAGAGGCTGTTAAAAATAAAATATATCTTTGCCATTTCTTTCACTCATTAGGTCTAGTTATTTTTAATTGGGGATCATTTCTGCCCAACTTTACTCAATTTCATTGTTTATGAGAACAGGAAAATATGCCATACAATGATGCAATCTCAAGCCACAAATTTCATGACATGAAGAAAAAAAGTTGCCACAAATTGCTCCTGTAGCAGTTAACATATGCTCTGATGATTCTACTACTAGCTTGAATCCTAACTCAAACAGAACACCATGTAATTTTTTTCATGTTTCTAAATTACCCTCTTTTGTTCTTCTTCAGCATCTGCAAAGAGCTTGCGAATGTTGGCCTCTGATTCTCCGACATATTTGTTAAGGATTTCGGGCCCATTCACAACTTTTGGCTCCCTGGCATTCAACATTTTGCCAATCTGCCTGGCCATAAGTGTCTTACCACAGCCAGGAGGACCGTATAAGAGGATACCTTTCACATGTTTGCAGCCTAAAAAGAAAGAAGAGAAAACACAATCATGAAACAAACAAAGAAAATCTTTTTTTCGCCAGAACAATAATGGGTGCAAAATAGAGCAGCAATTATTACTTGCTATTTATATCACAGTTTACCAGAAAACTGATATCATCTTACCAGCTGTCTATTTTTAGGCTTTCCTCCATACGTACAATTCAAAATCATAGGTATTACTATTTAAAATTACAGACAGGTTTGGATCAGAACAGAACTTATTCCCACTAGCCCAATAAATCTGCCCATCAGCCATTTTTGGAGACTGCTAAAACTGCTTTTATCTTCTGAGGGGCAAAGGATGATAACGGTATCCAGGCACTGGCTCAGATATAGAACTATCTGCATTTTTTTTTCTTGGCAAAAATATGTAAAGGAAATCTTAGTGGAGGCTATAAATCTAGTAAGTGAAAGAAGAGGAGTGACTAAATGAAAGAGATAGGTACATGACCTTATTTCTGTAGAAGGAAATCTGAAATTAGAGCTATAAAGTTTCTTTCTGTAATTGTTGGGGAGTTGGGGATGAAGCACATGGTAAATATCCCTCTGATTTCAGTAACTCCTCCAGAATACCTCAGCTGAAGCAGATTATTTCCCTTTTTTGTTTCAGTCACACAATTATTTTCGTCATAGATTTTTATATTTTTTGAGATATCCCATCATGTACTGAAATTAATACCTTATTTGGGGGTGATTTTCATTTCTTTTCTAAGAAACGTTATGAGTTTATTGTTTACAAAGATATATAGAAACATGCTGCTAAAGAGCTTCTTGGAGGCTTCCAGAAGGAATCTTTTAAATATATTTTAGATTTCAAGGAGACATCTTCCTCTTTTCTGTTCTTTTGTAATCTATCCCTTTTATGCTAATTAGGCTAAACAATTCAAGGGTGGAATGGGTTCTATCCCAACACTTTTTTTATTGCAGGGGAAAGATGTAGAACCAAATTTTTAAATCTCATGTTATATACTTACACAGACACACATCAACTCTAGCAGTCATCTCCAAAAATTACTAGCTATTATGAGATGAAGAAGACTAATCCTCTTCCTTTCTTCACAATTTTGGTGAACACTTTAAAATTTTCATGGCTCATCTGGTTAATTATTAGGCTCAGAATCTGCCAGTGTCCTGTATTCTGTTTTTACAACTACTTTTAACACTTAGTACCAAAACAATGAGCTAAAATGCAGACATTTTCCAAATAGGAATATTGTAGAGAGGAAAGTATATGCATTTTATATATTATATTTATAAAAATAAATAATTTCTGTGCAACTAAAAGAAGTATCTAGAAAATGATGGATACATAAGAAAATTATTTCTGAATAATCTTGTTTCTAACACTCTCAGTCACCTGAGTCTATATCAAATGTACTAAACAGCAACATTAATTAAGATGAGTGGGCCATCTTCTGATGCTAGGTACTACACTTAACATCCATATGCATGTGAGAGAATAGCAGGTGAGAAGACGAAGAAAAGTAGACAGGGCCATGCCACAAAGAGAATATGGCTAGGATTTCCCAGTTTTTCCAATACTTAGGTACGGCAATAGGTTTTTGTTTCTTTCTTTGTTTTTTCATGTGTAATACAAGACTTAATGCATTACCCAAATGATTGTAATGAAGGAGTATATAAAACACAAACATAGAAAATGTTTATGTATTGGGATATGAAAATAAACTTACTGGCAGATGACTAAAGGGAAGCACAGTCAAAAGGGCTAACTTTATTTCCGGCAAGCAAGATTTGGGACCTTTCTGAAAATGAAGATGTTTTAATGTTTTAATCCTATGTTATTTTATTCTGATATTCTGGTATTGTAAGCAGCCCAGAATCCTTTGACAGAAAAAAGGTGATGTACAAATTCAATAAATAAGATAAATTAAGAGAATGATATTATACCAAGTTTCTGAATTTTAGCTCAGGTGGGCTTTCAAGTTGGAAAGGCAATATCATTTTAAGATGGGCTGAGTCATAGCAACCAATAATGGCTATGACTCACACTGTTGACATCTGTAATTTTTTCTAATGCATCTGCTTTGCCATTACCTTGATGGGGAACCGGACAGAGAAAAAAATATTATTCAACTCTTAGGTATTTTAGAGAGACAGATAGAAAAGCAAACACTTGGTGCAAATGGGGGGAAGGAAAGAAAAAAAATAGTGGAGGTGAAAGACTAATTATACATATGAACCAGCAAGGTGGTGATAAATTAAAGATGATCCTTGTCAAATTAGTGTCAAAGAAGAACCTGTTAACTCAGCAGATAGGGAACACGATCTCTTGTGTAGCCAAAAATCAGTGAGGTGGGATTTGAATGATGAGTGATGCCAGAAAAGGGGAATCCCAGTTTACTGAGATGAGAGAGGCTACAAAAAAACCATGAACAAGTTAGAACAGATTTTGTACAAACAAGTTTAGGGAATTTCTGTTGCCAGGCAAACCAGTGAATGTAATCCCTTGATGCTGTACACTAGCCTCTTATTGAAAAGGCAACAAGGTAAAAGGGATACACCCAAAATCTCATCTACCTGAGGTATGCCATTATCAAGCAACTGCATGTAACTAGAATGACTGAGAGTTTGCACAAGACACACAGATATATTAACTTTTATTTGATTGTGATACCAAAAAGTAATTCTTAAGGGCTTATGCACACTAATCCTCTGTGATAACAATAATTTACTCTGGCAGAAACTTCAATGCTACCGGACTTCAATGAAGAGGAAACTGACTTGGCAGAAAACTAAACTTTTCTTTTTAGTGTTAGAGATACTATTAACAATAAACCATTGCTATAAGAGCACAAATGAGATTTGCAACTTGATGTTCACCAGATGTTTCATACAACATCCATAGTCCTATACTACTAGGCAGGTTGATTAGGACTGAAATCCAACACCTCTGGAGAATACAAGGTTACTATTCCAATATTAGATTCTTAGGGCCGTTACTTTAAAGATTGGTCTACATATTTAGTTCTATTCCTTGGCAGCTATAGCTCTTATAAATAGGGATGTGTTAACGCAATTGTCAAATGTATGTTACTTTTCTTATGTATATTTCCCAATTTTTATAGGTCTTCTTGCTATCCCCTCGTGACTGCATATAAGAAATAAATCAAATTATTGAAGTTAATGCATCTACTTAGAGGAGTTTGCCTATAAATCTGTATAATTTAGATGTGGTCTTGTTTCAGATTCTGTAACCTCTGTTATAGATCTGCCAACTATTTTGCAAAGGAAATTTTTCATTGATTAAAAAGGAAAAAAAATCTTCAAAATTACTCAAATGACTCTTGTCCCTTCATCTTCATGAGACATCACGTGGAACTTCAGAATCAATAAGTTACACAGCAATTTAGCAAGCCCTGGTGAAAAATATCTGATGAATACAGTATCTTTATTTTCTAATTTTTATTTTCAAATCCTCCTATACCTAATATTTATTTTATTTTGTGTAAGCCTTTTGATTCCTGGTGACTACATGGACTAGTTCCTGCATTTTTCTTGGCAAGGTTTTCAGAAGTGATTTGACATTGACCCTTCTTAGGGCTGAGAGAGGGTAACTGGCCCAAAGACATCCAGTTTGAGTTATGCGTACGCTGAGTATAATATTCATGGTCTCCTGATTCTAGTTTGGCACAATAATCTCTACACCAAACTAGCATTCTTTTACCTACATATTTACATTTTTTTGTAATGGCCCTCAGAAAGTGTACATTTTTCCAGTGCATTTAATTTCTTTAAAATTTCTGAAACTCTTTACACATGAAATGTCTTACATAGGTTTTTTTGGGAAAAAAACATAATTATAAATTATATTAAATAATCTGTTCCCATTTGGTTTCACTAATAGTTTTAAGTTATAGATTACCACTTTCATATCGGTTGAGATTCAAAGTGTATTATACCAGAATTTTAGTGAAACTCCTTTCATATAATTCTTATTATTATAAACTTTCCAAGATATTGTCTTAATTTGTAGGATATAAATGATTAAAATTAAGCCTGCCATCAATTTTAATTCTGAAGAGAGTAAATTTAAGCATTCAGGAAAAGGATGCTGCTGACAGCTGAGCAATAAATGTATTATAATTCTCTGGGAGTGGTCAATCTCTGCTACAGTTTATATAACAGACTAGTTGCAAAATAATGTCCATCAAGACAAGAGGTCTGAGGAGAAATATTTTTCTACTCCCTTATCCTTGATCTCTGACCATTACATATAACTTTCTTCTGAAATAGTGATTAAGGATAACCTACCAATATTACAAGTTTCTGTTTTATTGGTCCGGAGAACGTAAGTAATAAAAGCCACTGTAGTCTCCCAGCCATATGGGTAATGACACTGCTATTCAGACATTTCAGAAATGACAGCACAAACCAGGTGAAATAACCCAGTATGTTGAAGACATGCAGCCCAATCCTCAAATCCTACTTGATAAATTTTGATTCAGATGGGGAATATGCACTAAAAACAAATGTTTTGAAACCATTAATAACAAAGAGCAATAGGAATTTATAAAGGTGCCACACATATGAAATCAAGTTATCCTAGATGGGTATAGCACTTTGTAATTAATAATTCTAATGGAAGCAAGTCGTGAGGGTAATCAGACTAGGTCTCTAAATATGGGGAAGTCCATCTGAGACCTAACAGTACTAATGGACCTATTCCCTCCACCTCCATAAAATTGCCTAACCCCCTTTTAAAATTAAAACTGTTCATCATTGCAAAAAAAAAATCATCTGCTCTGAATCTACCAGTTATCAGAGGGCTGCCCAGAGTTTAGTATTTACATCAGCAAGGGTAAAAGTCAGTAGAGCTGATTGGCAGGAACTTCAGGAGCTGGAGATGCCACAGATTAAACCTGGGACCTTCTCCATACAAAGCACACACTCTACAGTTGAGCCCTCCCCCACACTTTCACCTCTTTGCACCTAATAGCGGTCTCTGTACAAAATGTCCCCACCTGGCCAACATGGAAGACTCTGAAAACATGAAGACAGGCCTCCTTTCAAATAGAGAGGTGATGACAAACTTCAAAATGAAGCTACTCTGCATTTACATCTTATCTCCCTTCTGAGAGAAAAGCAGGCAGTGTATCCAAATGTCAGCATTGTTAACAGACAGCTTTTAAAACTCAGCCTCTTCCTTAAGATAGGTGTATCTAAATGCCTCTGCTTACCATCATTTGCTGATCAAAGGTCACTCCTTAAATAGGGCACCAGTTTCTAATTATTTGCTCACCCACTTGTAACACACAATTCACATGGGAAACTATGCTCATCAAAATAACAGAAAAAGATATTACAAGGTCCAAAGACAATGTTGTCAGTATGCCATTCTCAGTAGCTTGACATTTGATACAAATTAAAAGGAGATAAACCACATCATTAAGGTAGTTTGCAAATGCCAGTCTGAAATGCCATTTACAGGATTATTTGTTTTGCTTTAGCTCCCAATATCCCATTCACTCAAACTGCCACATTTCTCCTATTGTTTAGTGCATGGCTAAGTGATATTCGTATAACAGAAATAAACCACATTGGGAAAAGAATTTAACACACAATTATTAGGCACAATAACTTGGCTGGTTAAGGACAATGGGATGTGTAGTTAAAATAACAGGCCTAGAAAACTGTAAGTTTATGACAGATGCTTTAACAGGTTAGATTACAGAAATCACAAATATATACATGGAGAGGAGTGAGAGAGAGAGCCAAGAAATTTTAGAATTCTAATAGCATCATTTCTATAACATCTTACAGTATTTCATAAGCAAAAGGAGAAATGTTTGAAGATTATACTTCAAATATCAACAAGAAAGGACAAATGGGAGATGAGGAGAATACTGTATCGGATGTTAGCAAATGTACTTTCTGTATTTAGGCATGACTGCAAGTGGGAATTAAAATGAAAAGTTGCACAAGTTGCTTAGTTAAGGAAACTATTGTCCAGACTGAAAGTCCCAAATGCTTACATCAAGACATGACATTGGTCCAGGAAATATACTGTAATTCAGTGAAAATGACAGTATTATGGAATGTATTGAAAAATTCCTGTAGACATTTTTGTAATCAAGTTGTAAAAATTTCTGGCCTTCTTGTATCACCCATATCCAATGATAAGAATCAGAGCAAGTAAACTTACTCTAAGGCAGATAAGATAATAGCTAAATGCATTGTGGCTCTTTCTAGTGATTACAAAGTTTCTGAGCATAATTTCTATTGGCCTCCAGTGCTATAGTAAAACCAAGACCACCTGCAGGAAAAATGACAATGAAAGAAGATGAATTGGAACCAATAGACCCTCTAGGATTTATGCAAACTGGAGAACAATTATCTCTTCTGATGGAATGCAAACAAAATCAGATTAAAGCAAGAATTCCTAATGCGTATTGAGAAAAGCCCTGGGCTAAAAATAAAAATTGCACATATTTAAACATAACTTGAGCCCAAAAGTGGGACTGAGAGCTTGCTTTTTATTATTATTAAACTACATTTCATTTACTGTAATTTTAGGCTTTTAGCAAAATCACAGCTGCAGAGGAGACACACCAGCAGCCTAACTTTCTAAGAGCTCAAAATGAGAAGGCAGCCCAAAACGTGCTTGAAGATTACAGAATAGGCCACCAGCATTGATGGGTTACAGCCCACTTAACCTTACTTTCAGCCATTGAATTCTAAATTTTATATTATTGATCCATAATTGCTAGCAATTTTCTATAGGTTTTAAAAATCTAGCATGAGTATTTATTGTAAAATACAGAGCTATAAATCTAGTGTTATTTTCTGCCATACGCTTCTTTGACACAAGTAAACTTACACACATGTCCATTCTATTTTGGAGTTGATTACAATATTTACCCATCAAGCATTGCTTTCATTAACTCAGGTTTATGGTGTGGCAATATTTATTAACATTCCTAGAAACTGCAGTTATGGAAAATGCTTCTGGGTATTATGTATAGGAAGATCCTTATTTCCTTAAATGATCAGATCATTGAAATGATATTTAAGGACCTTAATTCACAAATATTCAAAGTTATTTGTGGATAAATAAAAAATACAATGAAAATCACATGATCTGGGAAATGATAAAGAGGCCTAATATACCTTAAACATTTACATTTATTGCAGTAAGGATTTTATCATTTGATACTGCTGATTTTTTCCATTATGCATAGATTAGTCTTTAAGAAGCCAGAAGTTTCCTCATTTTGTTGTTAAACTCCAACTAATAAGCTTCCCTTTGGCATTTGAGAAGAAGAGTCAATGCAGTTTCTTCACTGTAATAAACTTGTTTCTTTCTCCATACTGCATTCTTGAATAGTTACTATTCACTTCAAAGATAAACTAGATGATCTCAGGATGAAAGCTACCTCCAATTCTACCATTCCATATCTATGGCCTCATAATAGGCATGTCTTTGTGGATTCGGCAGAGTGTAGTTGATTTATATTCCTGTTTTTCCCCCCACTTCATTTTACAAATGGAAGAATTATAGAACCTCTATTCTGAAGCAAACTGTAATGCAGATGATCAATCCCGCCAGGCTATACAGCTGGCACATTTATCATTTTTCATTTTTGAGGCAGAAGAACAGAGAAATGAAAACATAGAGAGGGAAAAGATCTTCTCCTGCTATACACAGACTCTAAGTTTTTTTCTTTTCCCCTCATGAATTATTATGGTAAACCTGAACAGATGTCAACCTGGCATTTGAGCTCTGAAATATAGTTGGAAAAGCAAGTTATAACTAATGCAGAGAAAAAGGATGGGTGTCAGGAAGCAGCCCTCTTCTTCAAATTTCAGATAAGTTTCTCTTGCCTAAGGGAGGGGACTGTCGGGGGAAAAAATGGAACTGCAATGGGAAGTTTTGCTTACTAAAAAGCAACTTCTTTATTTGAAAACGACTGTAGCTTATCAGGGGAAACAAGCCTTTTTAGGCTATAAGAGCCTCAATCCCCATCATCTTCTGTCAGGAAGTCACAAATTTGCTGACTTCTGAAAAATTAACTCAGTCCATGGCCAACAGAAATTTAAGAAGTGTAAATTGGTTGAGGTAGAACAACTCCATGAGACAAAGAATGGCTGCCCACTGTATCTCTGCCACATCTTGTCTACTTTCCCCTTCCAATCTATAATTTTGGAAGATTGCCTGGACAAGTCCGTGTAGTTTTCTTGGCAAGGTTTTTCAGAAGTGGTTTACACATTGCCTCTTTCCTAAGGCTGAGGGAAAGCCACTGGTCCAAGGTTACCAAGCTGGCCTTATGCCCCAGGCAGAACTAGAACTCATGGTCTCCTAGTTTCTAGCCTGATGCCTTAACCACTACACCAAACTGGTTGCCTTGTGTCCTTTACTGCACTTTAAAATGAAATATACTGAAGCATAACAAAGGAATGTTTCCAGTTTTAATTAAGAAGTGAGCTTGCATCATTAGACATTTAAGCTGGCAGAGTAGCCAATCTAGAAACTGTTCTAGAAACAGTAAAAATAATATAATTTTATCTTTGTCTTGTTAGTTGAATTGTTTTGTACGAAAAAACAGTTTATTCAATCCTGCCCATTTCCTTAGATTGATTTGAAAGTGATTAAATAGATACTTACTGTCATAGGAGGAGCCTTTAAGTCTTCACTTTAGCTAAGTGAAATTTTTAATTCGTACTACATAAGCACTTTAAAGCTAAGCAAACATTGAATTGGCTATGTTGGCAGACTGAATATGTTTCAAATCTTTAAAGCAGGGATCCCCAAGTCCCAATCCATGGACCGCGCCACGGCATGCCAGAAACTGGACTGTGCAACGAAACCACTCTCCCTCTGGTCTGTAGAAAAACCTCTCTCCATGGAACCAGTCCCTCGTGCCCAAAAGGTTAGAGCCCACTGCTTTAGAGTATCTGTTGATTGTGCAATGAACATATTATCATCCACCCAGCTATTTTTATTGACCTTACCTAGTTTAAAGCTATGGGGAAACTATCTCACAAATCTTTTCTACATTTCTTGCTATGACAGTTTTTATATTTCATTTCTCTCAATCCATATTTTCATCCTTGCACTAGCCTTTATTGTGTTCTTTTGGACAGGGCTGTAATTTCTGTTATGTGCACTGGGGGTCATATAATATCGTTAACATCTACTCATGTTTATGTTTGGTACAAACCCATTTGCTCCACAATCTCAGGTGGGAATACTCGAGAGGCAAATGCCCTTCGGAATATGTCAGAAAATTCTTTATCAAGACCTCCAATACCCATCTTCTCAAAATTCCAATCAGGGTTGATGATAGACTGACGATTTTCACGAGTTTTGGATTTGCCTGCAGGAAAAAAGAGCAAATTCAAGGCCAATAATTTTAATCAGAACTGTTATAGATGGCTACGATACATTTCATACACTATTACATATGTCTGATGCACAGAACAGTTTATTAAGAACATGAGCTAAGAATTATTTCAAACTTATTTAGTTAAGAATAGACTGAAAGATTGCAGAAAACTTCATTAAAATAGAAAATATTACCCTTGTCTAAAATGTGTTTGCATGTATACACACACTCAAACAAAACATACATACAGTATATCTTCAGACTTAACAAGAATTTAGTTAGCCAAGCTCGCCATCATTTCATCATGTTTTAATAAATTATGTATGTAGGTGTAGATTGCATACAAACAAAAAGCACTATTTTAAATTAGTTAAAGCATTCTTTGTTTTTTTAAACGTAAAGGATCTAATAAGATATAATAAGTCACAGAATCATATAATAATACATCACAGAGACTGCACTAGATTTCCTATATTTTAATGGGGACAGTCCAGTACACCATGCTGAACTTTTGATATTTGCTCATGACCTGACATGTTATGAAAGATTATTGAAATATCTGAAAACCTTACTTTTCCTTTTGTTTAGGAGAACCAATTTTCTAGATTTCATAGATTTGGAAATATTTTTGAAAACACTGCAGAGCACTGTAGTCATCTAAGCAATTGTGTTTTCCATCACTCCAGCAGCTTTCCTCTAAGAATAATATTCTAACAATGCCAAACTAGAAGTCTATCCATGATTAACTTGAGGTTGAGAAACAAAGAATGTTCTCTCTCTCCCTTCCTCCTTCTCTTTATCTATCTTTCATATTTCTTATCCACCCATCTCCCTCAGAGAGGAGCTCTGGTTCGTATACGATACACTTTGGCATAAGGAAACTGACAAGAGAGGCACAATAGACATAACACCCTTATTTTTTTGCAGGAGATTTCATCAACAATTTGTTTCCAATAATGACTTAATTAATTTGAGATAGTAATTAATAAGTCAAAAATCTGAATGAACTTTATAAATTAATATTAGCACCCAAGGTTAATTTTAAGAAACTATAAATGACTAAAGAGCAAAAATATATTTTTCTCAATGCATGAAGGGGGGGGGGGAGAGAAGATGTATTTAACCACTATGTATTAAGGGGCCAGTATATCTAACTATTCTAACCATAAATCATTCTAATTGGCACAAAGAAAGTTACTTATATATTTCCACACAGGAGATATAGTAGTTATTGGTAAATTAGATCCTGCCCTTCATTTCACCAATCCATTTTGAAAACAAATTAGCATTAAAAATCAGTCTCACATTTTTCTTAAAACTAAAAGGGAAAGAAGAATTTAGAAAACCATAGTAATGGCTGCAATAATATGCATCATCTTATGTATGCCTATTTATTGTTGCAGAGCCTTTTATAACACCAAATTCTTTCCTGCAATAGTCTCACATGATAACTCTTCTGGGGCCCAGAAATGTGCTTTAAACTGATAGAGCTCAGCCCCTTCACACAAAAATCTGGTTTTTTTAAATTTGAGTAAAATAACTGAAGAGAAAACAGAACATTGTTTCTACAACACTTGGGAATCAACAATGTTGGCTGGGCTGTTGCAAATGGCTCAGAGTTCTAACAATCTATTCAGCTAATGTGCGTCCCGCTTCTGCCTTCCATTAAATTTCTACCTTGAAAAGCCAATCTAGCAGGCCTATCGTTTGTAAGGTACATCACCTAGGGAGTTAAAGCTGGTGTAATTCAGTCTTCTTGAACTTGAGGATCTATTTTAAGGTGTGGAATTCACCTCCCAGAATTTTTCAGTTAACATTGAAATCCTGGGAACTGAGGTCTACACTATTTATATGGCAAAGTCTGTCAAGCTTTTTAAATAATATTTCTATTATATTTTCACAAAAGAACAGATAAATGACTCAGACCAGTCAGTGGAACCTAGGTGAAATAAAGGATTAAAAATAAAAAGGAAGACTAAGAGTTGACATGAGTCCAAGTAAGAATGAAGGGAAAATAGGTAAGAAACAAGGATAAGAAAAAGGGAAGAAAACAAATCTACAGCAAAAAGGGCTAATTAGCGAAGGAGTTTGAAAAATGTACTGGTACGGAGATCTAGAACACCTGAATGCTTTGGACAGTTGTGCTGTGAGGATTGATAGAGTCTGACAAAATCAAATCTAGGAGTTCACATGTACATTACATCCCTTTTTTCTTCATCAGTTCTTCTTGCTCTTGCTCTCTAATTCTCATTGTTCCTAGCACTCTATAATCTCCATGTCCCACACACATTCTTCCTATTTCATATGGTTGCGTTCTGGCATCTATTTTCTTAAATGCAAAACGACACTGGCCCTTGACATGTTAGTTTCTCCAAAAGGTCTTAAGGAGGAGTGAAACAGGAACTCTGCTGAAGTATTTTGTTATTATGTGCAACATATTGGACAATGGTATCATATAACCAGGGGTGGGTTTCAACCGGTTCGCAGCCGTCCCTGCGAACTGGTTGGTCGGCGAACCTGGAAGTAAGTAACTTCCGGGAACGGCGAAGGGGCCACCCGCCCGCCCGCGCTCCTTACCTGGTTTTGACGAGTTCTGCACTTCCACGCATGCGCAGGACGCATACAGCGCCTGCGCGATCCTCCAGGAGCAGCTGGAGCATTGCATAGACGCTAGTACGCATGTGTGCACCGTGCGCGTGCACGAGGATGCCGCCGGCCCCATTCCAACCGAACCGGTTGGAACGGGGCAAGAAACCCACCCCTGCATATAACCACGTCAGAAGATCTAGATAGCAACAGGCCAGTGATGGCGAACCTTTTAGACACCAAGTGCCCAAACTTTGCATGTGTGCATGCCCAAACTGAAAGGTGCATGTGTGTGCAAATGCACGCATGAGCAGACATGCACATACACAGACATGTGCAGGTGCAAGCACAGATATGTGCACATACGCAGCAGAGACCTGAAGACCAGCTGGCCAATGGGAGGCAGGGCACCCCAACACTGGCAGCGCAGTAAGAGGTAAGATCTTTTTGTTTTGTGAGCTTCTGTTTCGTCATTTTCAGAGAAACAGAAGTTCACAAAAGAAACATCACAGAGATCTGATCTGGGGGGATGGCGCATGTGCCAACAGAGAAGGCTCTCCATGCCACCTCTGGCACATTGCCATAGGTTCACCATCACTGCAATAGGCTAATGGCTTTGGAGTCAAAATAAAAAAAAGTGTTCAATGAATTGGCAATTTGCAGGCTACAAGAATTTGAACAACAAAAAAGTGGAAACAAGAATGAGAAGGAATAAAGAAAATAATGGGGGAAGTACAAGACCACAGTTAGAGCTTTGGTTATGAGGTGCTGTATAAATTGACAGGAAGGAAAGTACGAAGGCTTGAACTCATATATCAAAGAATCAAAGGTAAGGGCGGGGGGATTATGTCCTTACTTTAGTCTAGATTTGGAGGGGGGGCCAGACTTCATTGTTATCATTCTTGTCTATGAAAAAGGTGCAGGGAGGTCATAGGGAAATTCATTAAGAGAATTAAGGTAAATGGTTAGCTTTTAAGTTGCAGGGCTCTAGTATTTTATGTTATTTCCAAGGAAGCAGCAAAATTAACCACTCAGCTTTTCCATTTTATTTTTCTTATTCGATACTGCCACATCCTGGCCATAAGTGGTATTTGAAACTCTGACAGCAAAATAATTGCAGCTTTTCTTTCATTCCACAATACATGATTTATTAACCATCAAATCCCACAAGCATTCTCCAATCCCAAAAAATGGTTATAACATAGCAAACCCAAACATATTTAGTAGAGCCAGCAAAACAATGCAAGTTTCTGCTAAATTAGGAAGATAATTTTCAAAAATATACCACAAATTTATTTAAAACACAAGATTGTCATAAAATGTAATATTTATCAGGCTATACAACATGTAATCATAAAAGCATGTATAAATTGTTCCCAGATCCTGATAAAATCCTTCAAATTTCAGATTACTAGCATACCTATATTATCAGCCTTTTACTTAGGCATGGCATACTGCATATAATAAATCCAGAGGTAGAATAAATCCAGAGAGTAATTTCCCACGTCCAAATGAAAAAAATAAAATAAAATGTAGAAAATCCCTCAGTATTCAATCAGTTTCAATGAAATGACTTTCCCAGGGGTCATCAGTGATGTGGATTTTTGTCATCTGAAGAAACAGCAGAGAAAGGAACTGTCTAGCCAAAATATGATATAATGGTTAAGGAATTTGACCAAGACTTGAGAAACCCAGATTCCTCATTCAGCCAGGCAGACTCATTGATCTAGGGCAATCATTGTTTCTCAACCCACCCATCCATAATGGCTTTGCTGGGAAGACAAGATTAGAAGAGTACTATATATGCCACCTTGAGATAAAGAGTGAGATATATACAGATCATAAGCCTCATTGTCATTGATTCTAAGTCCCCACAGGATAGAATACAATTCTACATGATCAATAAAATAGAGAGGCTGTACAAGAACAATTGGCAGCATCAACATACAACAGTCAGTATATCTGTAAAGAAATATATATATAACAAATCAGTGGTAGGTTGCCAATTTTTTACTACCAGTTCGGGCACGCAAAAACATCTGGGTGGGTGGGCAGAGCCTCCTGCCACCGCTACTACCGGTTCCCACAATCCAGGCCGAACCAGGAGCAATCCACCTCTATAACAAATGTATTTTAATATGTATTTCCCATGATGTATTTGTTTTTGCCAACTTTCCTCCTAATGCATCTCTTTAATTTGCACATTTTTAGATATTCTTAGTATATTTACTAAAAAGGAGTACATTTCTAAAAGGCAGTTTAAAAATGAAATAAATGTATTTAACCACCATTCACTTTATATTTCAATTCAAAGGAGTATGACTAAAATAGATTTATCTAAGAATGTGAGCCAACAAAGGTATCTAAAATTTATAAATGCCAATAAAAAAAGTAACTGGGTTCACATTCTCATGACCTGGCTATAGGATCTTTGATTATTAAGTGGGTGACATCTCTCCTTATACTTCTGGATACTGAAACTTTTTCCATGCTTCTTTTAAAGGCTCAAAAATGGTAATTTTCCTTTGCATCTAGTTATTACCAACTCTTTTCTATATTCTTGTTTTTCTTAAACCAAGATGTCATTAGTACCTTTGGTTAAAAAACAGTGTCTTCAGGAAACTGAAGCATCTGATGTTTGTAGCTCCTAAAAGCTTATCCCCTTTAATAATATCTGTTGGTCAGAAAAGATGAACTTGACTTCTACTACTACTAAATCCATATAAATGGGGAGACAGACTAGTTAAAAATGGATTAATAACTTTTGTGACTTCTAGTTGGAATCCAAAACTATTTCTCATCATTAGACTTACCAATAAGAGTGAGAGAAGAACTCTCAGCCTTCTCAAATGCAACTTGACTATTTCCCACAACAAGACCAATTTCAATCTAAGCATGGAAACAAAATACACAAATAAAAGCCTTTAGGAATAATGACATTTTCAATATTTCCCACTGAGATGCAGAAGGCAAGAAACAAATTGGCCAACAACAGAATATAAAGTTATTTTAATCCGACTGGCATTCTGCCTTTACGCTATTTTCAGCAGCATGTTTAAAGGAGGCTAATTCATGATTATCTGCTCCCTGCTCAAACTATGAAAACAGGAAGAGGATCAGGCATCTAAGATTCTAGAAAGGAAAACAGCTGCCAGCACAGAAGGTAGATGCAGAAAATACCATCACTCACACTGGGAAATGACACAAGTGGGAACAGAACAATTCTAATATAAGAACATAATAAAGTAAACAAAATTTGCCATATTTATATATGACAAATATACATGATATATATTTGGCACAGGATTTGATCTCGATTTCTAGAAGCATTGTTGAGCCATATGCTGTTTCTTAAAGTGTTCATTTTCTGTATTATTTCTTCAACTTTTCAAGGTTGGTTTGATTTTCACTGAGTATGAAATTCTCTTCTTAGTCTGAGAACTAGGATTGTGATAGTTTTGCATGGTTCATTTTATGAAAAATTAATGTTAATTCACCAAATAATAAAAGTACAATGCTTTCCTCCCTTTAAAAATCAAATAATTACTTTGTTTGGGGTGCCTTTTGTTTAGATTTCAGACAATTTCAGAGACACGGTGATGACATCCCGGAATCAGGAGGATCTGAACTCTGCAGTTCATTTTTCATCTTAACATGCCAGCTTGTTTTGTAAGAAAATCAAGTTTTCAAAGACTTCAATTTTTCTGCCAAATTTCAAGAGATGTGGTCTTGGAGAATTATAGGAACCCCTCAAGCTTGCTCAATCAAATGAGATATTCAGATATAATTAATACAAAATTGGCCAAAGTACCTGCAAGAAGTCCACCACGAGTGCTCTTTCCCAAATTCTGGGGCTTGAAAGTTCAGATGCTATTTTTCATGTCATGATCTTTGTCTTAAGACTGTATACATATACAATTTGCAACTTACCTTCTGTTTTTTACTTGCGGTAGAATCTCCTTTAAGAATACTAGGATCCATAGCTTCAATGTCCTTGACCAATAAGCCAAAAAGTTTGTCATTAAAGCTAAATACAAGCTGCAGGAGTAAAGGAAAATACACATTAAAATAATATAGCAGGATAGACAACCAATATTCCACATACAAAATTGGGCGATATGGTTTATCCTAGTTATCAGGAGATGGTACATTGTATGGTACATACTATGAAGATCAGGGCCTCTGCTGATCTGCAAAGTACAGGCAGTCCTCAACTTACAACAGTTCATTTAGTAACAATTCAAAGTTATAACAGCACTGAAAAAAGTGGCTTATGACAACCACATGCATAGTCATATGAACAAAATTCAAATGTTGGCAACTGACTCATATTTACGACAGTTGCAGTGGCCCTGGGTCATGTGATTCGCTTTTGTAAGCTTCTTACGAAGTCAATGGGGAAGTGAGATTTACTTAATAAACAAGTAACAACTGCAGTGATTCAATTAATAACAATGGCACAAAAGATTAGAAAATGGAGCAAAATTCATTTAGCAACAAAAAATTTGGACTCAATTGTGGTTGTAAATCGAAGACTTCTTCTATAAATTGAACTACAGGTGTGGGAAATTATCCCATAACTGGCTGGGTGAAATTAGCTGGGATCAATAGGATAGGATAGAATATCTGGATCAATTCTATCTGGATCAAAA